ATTAGTCGACATTATCGACAACGTCGACAATAAAAAATTGTCGACAAATATTTTTGTTGTCGAGTAGTCGTTTGATCTCATATGACCTAATGTAAGAGCCTGCAATAACACGGTTTGACCAGTGTGGCGCTGTAGCGCAAGACTGTAATTCAGCTCTCCTGATGCCATTCAAGAGAAGAAGACACAGCGCTTCAGACAGAGCGGAGACATGGAAAGAGAGAGTTGCGTTACATTTTTTTTATAGATTATTATAAAGCATTCGATACTGTAAACCACAATTTTTTATTTGAAGTTCTTGATTTCTTTGGTTTTGGCAACAACTTTATCCGGTGCATTCGAACATTATATAATGATTGTAATAGCTCTGTTAAACTACCCTTCGGGACCACTGCTAGATTGAATACAGGTAGAGCTGTTAAACAAGGAGATCCTTTATCTCCTCTGTTATCTTTATTGCTCATGCAAGTATTGTATCTTCATATTAAAATCAATCCATTCCAAGGTATCCAGTTTAACAAAAATGTAATAATAATATTCTTAGAACGATTTGCCAAATTTCCAGTGTTCCTTTAGCCATTGGTTTCTGGAGATTTCAAGACGTCAACTGACAAGAAACCTTTAAGATCTCCAGACGTTTTTGTATCACACATAAAATTAGTAATAATAAGTATCATACAAGATCGTTCATCATATTTATCCTGTAAAACAGCTCATTGCAAAGTTTTGTAAAGACATTGACTTGAAGTGTGTTTTCTGTAAAGAGGAAAATGAGAGTATTGTTCATTTATTTTATGATTGTATTTATACAAAATTATTCTGGTTTTTTTTTGCAAAGCTTTGTAAAGACATTGACTTGAAGTGTGTTTTCTGTAAAGAGGAAAATGAGAGTATTGTTCATTTATTTTATGATTGTATTTATACAAAATTATTCTGGTTTTTTTTGTTAAACAAAGTATTAATATTGAATTGCAACTCAAAGAAAAGGCTGTTTTATTTTTTTATGAGTATACGGTTGACTTCAAGATTTGGTATATTGTGAATTTACTCATTATATATGGAAAATTCTTTATTCACAAATGCAAATGGGCAGTGAAAAAACCTAATTTTACTCATTTCAGAATAGAAATAGGTCACTACTTGTATACGTTAAAAGAAACAAGAAATAACAAAGCAAAAAAAACTGTAAATTACTTTAAAGCCTTAAATCTATTCTTTGAATAATTTGTAATTATTTGTACTTGTTTACAGACGTGATTTTTTAAAATTGCTTTTCTTATTTAATTTGTATTTATTTATTTTAAGTATTTGCTTTCATTCAGTTTAAATGTAATTGCCCTTATATGTTCTTTGTTCTAAAAATGAGTGAGATGCAACTGCTGTTTGTCATCCAGTCCGCCAGCGGCGCTATTCGTTTCCGGTGATGCGGCGCGTGGCGTCTTCAGTGCGTCTGCGTCACGCCCCTCTCACGGACAAAATGGAGGAAACACTCGGCGTTTGTTTGTTTGAGTGCAGTAGACATTAATAATCATTAATTAGTTTGCTAACATAAGTTAGAGCGTGCATGTAAGCGCAGACATTACGCTGTGCGGAGTGCGCATGCGTTGAAGGGTGAGTTTTATTATAAGCCATTGTGTGAGCGAAGGGTATTGTAACGTTACTTACAGTTGTTTATTCATACGCTCTGTCTTTTGTATGTTTGTCTCTTGTAAAAAAAACATTTTTAAGTCTAATTATCGTTTTAATGGTCTAAATGAAAGCTGATCAGTTCATTGACAGCCATTCATGATGCTGTGGTCTTGTTTAGCTTTAGATAAATGTGAAATGCATCTCTCACACACGTAAGACGCAGTGTTAATATTACAGCATGAGAAGAACGTTGTAAAGTATTTTATATGTCTTCGTTTTAATTTATTAAGCTATTATATCGTTTATAATACATAATGCTATGAAGTACACAATTACGATCTACCGTATGCTACCATTTATCAACGTATGGTTGTAATAAACAAATGCTGCAAAATATATGATCATAGCAGACAGACTTTCACTAGTATTGAATCTAGAAAGATCAGTAAATGTACTTTGGCAACCCACTATGCACACCTTGGCAATACCATTGGCAGTCATTTTTTTTAGTTTACTCGCCAGACTGATATACTATACTATTTTACACACACGCACACACACACACACACACACACGCGTACACACACACGCATACGCACACACACACAAACACGCATACACACACACACACGCATACACAGACACGCACGCACGCACACACGCATACAGTGGCGGTTCTAGCTCGTATGGTGCCCTGGGCGAACCACCCCTCTGCCACCTCTAAATGAAATTAATTTGACAAATTTTATTTTATATAAATGTATATAGTTAGATTATTACAAATAATTAAAAAATACAAAAAATCCCTCCAAAACTGCACAACTTTACAGTAAAAATAAAGTGAGTAATGTTACATTTGTTTAAAAAAACGACATTATGTAACAATATCACATTTTCTGTCTGATTATGTAAGCTAGTTGGACGAAAAAGGATTGTTGTTGCCCTATATGTGTAATAATTGCAGCATAGCATAATATTCGTCATATATTAGTCTATTTTAGATGAATGATAGCTGCATGCATACCATTTATCTTTTGCGCATCCCCCCCCCCTCCCCTTTTTTTTGAGGTGATGTAAAATAATGAAATGAATGAGCTGAAACGCTGGAGTTTTGTTGAGTGCACGCGCTTGCTGAATTAATTCTGCGTACTCATGAATTCTCTCATCATAAACAAAGTGCAGATGTGCGTGTGACGTAAGTAAGAGATTCATTTCACAGTGTAGACAGCTTCAGTGATTATAACGGGAGCTTTTAGAGAGTGCTTAAACTCGCGCTAGACTAGGGCTGGGTATCGTTCAAAAATGTTTGATATCGATACCGATACCTTGACTTCGATACCAGTTCCTGAACGATACTTTTTTCGATACCAATTTTATCACTCGCTTTCGGTCATGTAGTATGAACGGACATCTTCATATGATTGAAACTCTACTCAGCTCCCGCGCTACTCTCCATTGGAAATTAATGACTTTCGGTCTGTCATTTGTCGGAGATAGTGGAAAGCCGGCTTGAAACCAAGTGGAAACGTCAGTATGACAAGGATCGTTTTCATTTTAAAACATAAACGCAATGAGCTACTGTCACCGATGACAGACTACTAATTCAAAGTGTAAATCTATTGTCATAAGGTGGCAGCAGCAGCTGTGTGTTCGACTTGAAACAGACCGATCAGTGTAGGACCAAAATATCTTATTACCCCAGGGCTCCAGACTAAAGGTGTACTCACACTAGGCTTTTTGAACCGAGCGCGTTTGACCCCCAAAGCCCGGTTTGATTAGTGTGAGCACTCCGTGCCGCGCTCGGGCGCGGTTCATTTAGCCGGCCCTGGCCCGGTTGGGCTCGGGCGCGGTACGCATGCAGTGTGAGTGCTAACCGCGCCGGAGCACGGAACAGATACTATTTTGTGTGCGCTACTGTCATCATAAGAACTACTACTGTCTTCTCAAACATATTCTATTACTACTAGGGATGTAACGATGAACCGCGAGCTGGTTGAAAATTGATTCAAATATGTGACGATTCAAATCGGTTGAGATGCTAAACAAATCACGATTCAATTAGGGGTAGGAGTTTATATGAATGAATGTCTGAGGGGAGCTTACTGACTTTAGAAAAGTTTAGATGTTATTTCTTCTTTTCATCTTGCCTCTGTATAATGCATATTAAAAGTTCATAAGTGCATTTACAGCGGAAACCAAGGAAACGCTTTAAGCGCCACCTGCTGGCAGAGAGTGTGATCGATCTGCGCCTTACTGACGTTGATGAGATTAACCCCTTAGGTATCGAAATTTGGTACCGAATGACGAGACGTTTTTCGATACTCGATGGTATCGAGGCAATTCGGTCGGTGCCTAAAAAGTATCGAACTCGATACCCAGCCCTACACTAGACTATATTCAGTTATGTTCTTTGATCATTTAAATGTTCTTTGCTCACTTTCAGTAGGGGTGGGCGATATTGCCTCAAAATTATATCACGATATTTCAAGAATATTTGCGATGACGATATACAAAAAATATGGAACAACGTTTTATTGGTGATTGCAGTTGGCAGGCAGCAGCATTTATTAGTGCAAACAAAATAAAGGGCATTTATCCTTTTCCAATGAGCTACTGTCATCGATGACAGACTACTAATTCAAAGTGTAAATCTATTGTCATAAGGTGGCAGCAGCAGCTGTGTGTTCGACTTGAAACAGACCGATCAGTGTAGGACCAAAATATCTTATTACCCCAGGGCTCCAGACTAAAGGTGTACTCACACTAGGCTTTTTGAACCGAGCGCGTTTGACCCCCAAAGCCCGGTTTGATTAGTGTGAGCACTCCGTGCCGCGCTCGGGCGCGGTTCATTTAGCCGGCCCTGGCCCGGTTGGGCTCGGGCGCGGTACGCATGCAGTGTGAGTGCTAACCGCGCCGGAGCACGGAACAGATACTATTTTGTGTGCGCTACTGTCATCATAAGAACTACTACTGTCTTCTCAAACATATTCTATTACTACTAGGGATGTAACGATGAACCGCGAGCTGGTTGAAAATTGATTCAAATATGTGACGATTCAAATCGGTTGAGATGCTAAACAAATCACGATTCAATTAGGGGTAGGAGTTTATATGAATGAATGTCTGAGGGGAGCTTACTGACTTTAGAAAAGTTTAGATGTTATTTCTTCTTTTCATCTTGCCTCTGTATAATGCATATTAAAAGTTCATAAGTGCATTTACAGCGGAAACTGCAGGCCAGCGGGGGAGTGGGGAGGGGGGATAATCGCGCTCTGTTCAAGGCAACCGTGCCTAGTGTGAGTACACCCTAACATTTGAGAGCAGTAGCACCAGCGCCACTAAGTTCTGCAGACCGTGGTGCGAGGAGCAGATTTGGTAGCGCTGGGGGTGGTGTGCGGGAGTATTAAAATATAGATCATTTAATCATAAAATTACTATTGTTCTGCATTAATAAGTGCAGTTACTAATAATATTACATGTTCATTTCTTGTTTATTGTTTATATAGATTTGACAGTAAAGCACAAAGCTTGAGTTAAAGGGGTCATATGATGCGATATAGAGGACCTACAATAATGTACAGTATTTGAAAAATAATGTGTTTTTTGAACATTAAAGCATGTCAACATATTCTGTTACACCAAATACACCAAATAATGATCTTTAAAAAAGCATCATATGACCCCTTTAAGATACATACAAAATTTACTTTTATTAACAACAGTAAGAGGTGCAAAATCTAATTTTTATATAGAAAAATTATATATTCCACTCTTATTAAATGTACCATTATTCTTCTAGTATATGGAACTGACCAACTTCAGTGATTGTGTGATTTAGTAGCGACTTGAAGAAAAGTTTGTTTTTCAAGGCACTTTGTGACTTTTCTTACTTCATTCACAAAAAAGTGTAACATTCTGACAATCTGATTTCTTGATGATTTTATATTTTATAATAGTGATTTTATAATTTCAAAATTCCGCTCTAGTGATACTTTGATGTCATACACCGATCAGTCTGCGCAGAGCTGCTTCAAGTTGAACACACCTGTTGGGTTTGTGGTGTGTTGTTGTTGTGCGCGCTAGGGAACGTAAATGCGCCATATGTCATTACGTCGCTATATCATTGATATCGCGATATGACACTTTTTATTATCATGTAAAAATGTATACCGTTATTATCGTGGATGGTATGATATGAGTTGGACAATATATGACAATATAATATGACAATAAACGCTTTGAATCCTTGAAAATGGCACACCCCAACCCTCTACATTGCGAGTAAATCACTCGCATATGCGACTAAATCTTACTCTGGGCGACTAAATAATGTCTAACATTAGCCATTGGCTAATAAATTCTTAGATTTTACACACCAGTATGTGTGTGAGAGGCGTTCAACACAGATTTTCACTCGATAAACACGCTGACTGAGCTTTCCCCTCAGAAATTCTGTTGAGTATTTAAATTTTTTAAGGCATAAAACATTAATTTAATTTATCTTTTAAATAATTAAAATTAAACACATTTTATTTTTTGGGAAAATAAAGGAGATTTAATATTACATTATTTCATTAACACATAGACACGCAGAATTCATATTTAAATATGAATCGTTTTTGCGGCTTAATATTTACAAATACTAGTGGGAGTGGGAGTGTGCTCACTTGTGCGCGATACAGAGAGCGTGACCATAACGTAGAGACAGAAATGACATGCTGTCGTGTAAATAAGATAAATAACATAATC